TTTTCCAGATCACTCCCCTTTAACTATTTGAAATAACATACTGTCCATGCACTCACAAAGGTAGCATTGTACAATGAAGGCCATGGGATGAAACTTGGAACATTGAGAGATAGGGAGGAGAGGGAGAATGAAACTCAACACTTGGGAAGCTAAGGCATAAAGATCACAAGTTCAAGTGCAGGCTGGGCTACAAAGAGATATCCTATCTTGAAAAACAAAAATAAACGCACACAAAGTGTTTATTAATGTCAGTTTTTACTTTACTGGAACTAGATCCTCCAGCAGTCATTGTGACTGTACTGCTAAAACAGGCACTATGTAGAACTCCAGAACGCCAGTGTGGCATACCAAAAGTAATTGTGATTTCACACAGAATTCACAGTGTACTTTAAAACACCATGCCAAAATGGGCCAGATTACCCTACATTTTAACAAAAAGTCTTTCCTATGTTAGACTGTCCAAATTGTTATTAAAGAACATTAAATACACTATTAGAATAAATTATACTACTGATTGATTACACCAGAAGAATTTGCAGTCTTAATTGCAAAATATATGGGCTGGGGCACAGCTCATTTGGTACAACACCTCCTGCCTAGCAAATACAAGACCTAAATTTCAAATTCCAGTATTACCTTCCACAAAAAAAAAAAAAAAAAAAAAAAAAAACTAAATGGAACTTGGGCACTGGAGGCACACACCTTTAATCTTAGCTACTCAGGAGGAAGAGAACTGCAGATTGCAGTTCAAAGCCAGTCCTTGCAGACAAATTCTCAAGAGACTGATCTTCAAGTAACCAGAAAAAAGCTGAAAGCAGAGGAGTGGCTCCATTGGTAAAGCTCTAACCTTGAGCAGAAAAAGCAAAGCAAGCTTCCACAGATAACATTTGTCTTTCTAAACACTGACAGGTCTTATATAAATGGTGCTTCTCCTTTAATTTATACCTGATATCAAAAGAAATTAAATTGCCTAAGTCAAAGATGAATTGCAGAACTATTTTGACATATTTAGAATTTTATATCAAGAATTCCATGGAATGAAATTCATCTCAAATTATAATTTTAAGTGCACAATTTCATTGCTTCTGGACATGGAGTAATTATTTGTTAATTAGGCTTAACAAAAGACAGAAACAGGAAAAATTATGAATCATCTCATTAAAGAAAAGGGTAACACATCTCTATCTTTTGAACAAGGAAATGGAGTGGCTTTCCTAAGACTCAAAGGAAAACCCAACAAGATGTTAATGCTCCTTAATTTATCAAGAGCTTGTTCTTTTCCCTAGCATTTAGGCTTCTATGGAGCTGTAGGATTAATGTTCTTTTAATCATGCAGTCCATCTAGTATCTCTTTGAAATATAATCAGTATATATTTTCATAAGATTGAGTAGGTAAATATCTCTAAAGGAAAAGTTCTTAAGTAGTAAACATTATGTCCCTTACAAAAAAGGGCAGCTATCATTTCTATTTGGGGAAATAACTGTAATATTACCCAAAATTATTTACAATATATTCTAGTTTATCCAGGCCGAAAATAAGACGTTTATGACAGGAAGACAAAAATCTTTTTATAAAGAGAGGGGTTTTTGCAACTAAAAGTGTTTAATGATTAATTGCCTACAGGATAAGTGGAACCACCCCGTATGTAAATCCAGACTAATGATGGGCCGAGATGAAATTTTCCTAAGTGTTTTAATATAAATCTTAAAATATTATTTTTCATATTTCATAATCACAACAGAATTATAAGGGGAATGCTAAAGCTTGCTAGCTTTTAAGAGCTCTGGTTTGTGGAATAAACAGTGTGCTCCCTGTTATCAGTGAATGAGGGAGTTCATATTGATGTGAATTAGCACTCCCTCTGTAATATGCTAAGCATCCCGGAAAAATCTGTGTCAACATAAATCTCCTAGACTCATTCCAGTTTGCTGTTATCCACAAAGCCATATGAAATCAAGCTATTATTACACACTGTAGAGGGTTAGCAATTTGATGGACAAAATCTAGTAAGCATTTAGAACACCATCTTTGTATATAAATTAACCAAAATTGTACTATTTACAGTAAAAAAGTAGATTTATTCTGTCCAATCTCCTTTTCAGTGGAAGTGAAAAACATACATATGTGCATACATATATATGCATAAAGATTTAAATACATAAAGGAAAATAACAGTGAAGGATACTAATACCATGTAAAAGTTATGGCAATCATTATTGTCTTTAAATTATGCATTTAAGCAATTTTACTGAATGAAAAACTTGCCATTTTACTTTTATAAAGTTTATGCATAAGTAAAAGAAAGGAATAGGTTGATGGTAGTTTAAAAGGCTGTCATATTTTCTCACTTAGCATGAATAGTCAAGAATTATGAGTGTACATTTTGTATACCTATTAGCAGAGAAGTTTTGGAAATTCATCTCTGTACTAGTTACAGAATACACTTGTAACAAAATTAATTGGGTAACAAATATTACAATGAGAATACTGAACTTACTTATCTGCATATCTGAAAATGTATGTACTTTGGGGAGGCACATAATATGTACAGGTATGCTATTCTACCACCACTGACTTAAGCTTTGCAATTTACGCAAATGATTTACCTTCTCTAAGCTTCAATGTACAAACATCAGGGCAATGTGAGGGTTTCATAAATTGTGCCACTCAACTAATGCTACTTTTCTACTCACTTACAAATGCTCTCAAGTATTTGTGAAATTCCTTTCTATGGACAAATTATGGACATGATAATTATTGAAAGTTTTCCCAAGTCCAGTGAAACAGGGATCCTAAAATCCTGTAGCATTAGCATGCAATGCTGTTATCATACTCTCAGATCACGCTTCTTTCAAAATCTTGTCATTTTAAGAACTAATTTACAAAAGTCTCTTCTAGAATAATCTTGTCTAATTCATAACTTTGTATGGATACAATGGCAACAATAACCTTCGCATAGGTTAGTGCACTCCAACACAGGAAAATGGAATTAAAAGCACAAGTTTGGAGAAAGGAAGGGTGACACCATAATACCAGTCATGCTTGATTTAGCTGTTCAAGTTAGCAAAGATTGCTACCTCCTACCTCCACCAAAGTGTGTTTCTTTCCCCCTAAATCTGCACTTGTAAATCTAAAGAGCCATTCTTTAGTCACACCTGGATTCAGATCCCAGCTCTGCCATTTAATAGGTGAGTGATCTTGGTAATTAGATCACTTCGCCTATCTTCATTTCATCTTGAAAATGGGGACAGGCCACCAAATGCAGAGTAATATTGCCAATGCCAGATGAAAGAATGTATGCAAAGCACCTAGTTGACATTTAATATATATCATTTTCTTCCCCTATAGATCTGCTAAAGTTAAGATTCCCAAGGAAATTCCAAGAAGTTTATAAGTTATATTACTACATATAATTCCACAATTATTGACTATATGCAACTCAGCAAGCGTCGAGTTTAACAAAAGACATATGCAATTACCACTGATGTTAAAAAGTGAGAAATTTGTAAATGAAAAAGTATTATGAGAATAAAAAAGAAGCGGTCATTCCCGTGGAGGGGAGTGGCATTGATAGACAATAGGAGATGGGCAATATAAATACACAGACCTCAGCAAATGTGCAACAGGCTGTGCTGAATTGTTGCTGAACAATAGGAAACAAGCTGATTAGTTTGCATTTTAGAATGGTATATGAAAGCATTGTCATAGGATTAGAGGTATAATCTGGAAGGCTCCCCTTTAGAAAGTCTTATCATTAGCAGATGGTTCATACCTATAATCCTAATTACTCAGGAGTGTGGGATCTGAGGACTGAGGTTTAATGCTAGCCCAGGCGGGAATGTCCATAAGACTCTCATCTCCAATTAGCCACCAAAAATAGCTGGAAATGGAGCTTTGGCTCAAGTGGTAGAGCAATAACCTTGAGCCAAAAAGCTCAGGGAACAGTGCCAAGTCCTTGAGTTTAAGCCCCAGAACCAGTAGTAGTAGTAGTAGTAGTAGTAGTAGTAGTAGTAGTAGTAGTAGTAGTAGTAGTAGTATGAAGAAGAAGAACAAAAACAATAATGTAGGCATAAACCAGGAGGGTTGGATAAATCCTATAATCCCAGCTACTTGGGAAGTTCAGATGGTTCAGCCTCAGATCAAGTAGTACCACTGCTTCAGCCTTTGATGAAATCCTCTAAGCAGGATTATGCCATAAGGAGAAAGCACATCAAAAGTCAAAGAGCCTGCTTAGTTTGTAGTTTTATAAATGTGATTATAAAGTCCCACGAGAGTTACCTTAAAAATCTCTTCTGAGGTATAGGGCCCAAATGACCTAAGAACCTCTTATTAGGCTATACTTCTTAAAGGTCCACAGTACATCAACATACTAGAGAACAAGTTTCCTACATATGAACCCTTGAGAGAACCACTCAAGCCATATCCAAACCAAAGCAGAGGAAATGGACAAAACAGTATTGACATGATCATCACTAATGATGTATGTTATCTCTATTCCCTTAAAAACTAGAGTGGAACTGAAAGGAAACATATCTCTAAAATTTTCAAACAATACAGGACAAGTTAACATCAAGACAAACAGAAATCTGAGAGTGACAACCTTACTGTACAAACTCAAAAGGTAAATAAGACCATATTTTTCAGATAATGCCTTTACAGGCCGATACGCCCCACTTGGTAAGTTGTTAGCACTATTCTTATAGCATCAAATAATCATAGATAAAAGGATAGGGAAAAAAATCAAACATCTGGATCTACACTCTCCAGTGTGGGAGCTATTATTTACATGAAACAATCTATCACTTGAAACACAGCTTATTGGAATTGAAAAGTGCTATAACAACATATTAAAGAGTTAGTACAAAAAATTATATATCTCAACTGATTATACATTGAAATAATACACTAAATATACTGAATTAACTGTTGTTAAATGAATTTTATTTCTTTTTATTTTGTAATTGTTTCCAGAAATTTTTAAACTACATATATGACTCACATTTTATTTCTTCTGAACAGCTCTGTTCTAGATGAAATTTTTACAATCCTTCTAGTGCAGTAATTCAATGCTATCAAGACTTCACTGTTGAAACAAGGTCTTGCATCTTTGTGCAACCTGATGAAAAAAATCTAAAAACAAAGATCCAGACATTTAAAAAAATAGCTGGGCACTGATGGTTCATGCCTGTAATTTGAAGCTACTCAGGAAACTGAGATCTGAGTATTGTGGTTCTAAGCCAACCCAGGCTTTTTATCTCCAATAAACTATTCAGAAAAAGCTGGTTGTTGTGCTGTGATTCAAGTGATAGAGCACTAGCCTTTAACACAAAGAGGTTCAGAGAGGAAGTAAAATAAGAAGGCAGGAAGGAAGGGAGGAGGAGAGTGAAAAAGGGAGGGAGGGAGGGAGAAAGGAGAAACTGAAATTGAATACGAAATTGACATTAAATACCACCAAATATAAAAAAACATCATAAGCATCAACATTAATTGTAAGACAAATGAAATTTAAATTTATTACTTAAAAGCACTTGCACTGTCAGTAGGAAAAAGAAGTTCATGCCCAAGGTAAAATATTCTTTTGCTTCAATTAAACTCCTAAGTTAATGTTGAACATAATTTGACAAATATTAGGTATTTAATTGTTTAGAAATGTAATTGTTTTAGAAGCCACTCACCAGCACAGTAAAAAATTAAGCCTCTTTAAATTAAAAATGACAATGTACCATTTTTCTAAGAAGTAATTAAATCAGAGTTCACAATTAAACAGAGAGTTCCTCTATAATTTTTATGTCTAGAACACAGGCAGGACATTTTAGTTATAAAAAGGTAAGAACATTAAATTTTAGCATATATTAGAAGTGAAACACAAATGTTTTAGCAAGAGAGAGGAAACTTTTAGTGTGAAAAGCCATTTGGATATTTATACAATTCCTGGGCCATACAAAATGATCGATACAGGCAGAAACCTCTGGGAAGCCAAAGAGAAGCATAAGAGAATCATACATATTTATCACTTCATGTAGTTAATGATTTCACAGGCCTTGTATGGCCCAACAGAGAAGAGGAACCTCACCCCTTCAAGAGATAGGACTCAGGCAAAGAAAGATTTTCAAGTGAAGTGCAATAGAGGTGAAGTATAAACATTTAGGGGATGATTTAAAATTCTCTGACCATAAAGGCTTCATTTTTGTAATCAGAAAGAAAATGATTTTAATCCAGTCTGCCTTACTCCAAATCTACCATTGTTAAGCACTTTATACATCTTTATGTATATGTGTACAATCATATATGTGTGTGTACTTGGTGTGCACACCCTCCCCCTTCACATACACACACATCACCATTTGGATAAACTGTCTGAACGAATAATTTACTGCTGCTTCCTTTTGAAATACTCCATAGTAAATATTTTCCCGAGATGTATTTATCTATATGATTTTGCCCTGCTAACTTTATTCTCATAAATCCCTTCCTTACAATTTATCTTATATACTTCTCCTACATGAGTATCTCTTGGAAAATCTGACACTATATATAAAACAAATCTACTGTAGAATTTAGGAGATTTTTCATTCTAATTAACAAATGAAAACTATACACAGCTATGAAGATTCAAACATATAGTTAGAAATGTGATGATAAACATTAGACTCCAAATTTTCTGGCCAGAGAACTCGGCTCTCTGATAGCACATTTAAATACTGACTTAGGGAAATTCATTACAATTCTGCATAGGCTTAGCTCCAATATTAGAAACATGCCTCTAGGCTCATTTGTACAAGAATTTCTTATTCAGCATCTCAGCTGCACAGGTTTCCATACAGAAATGAGCAGGTAAAAATGGTTAGAGCTTCATTATGAGTCAACATTAACATAATTACTTTCCATCTATTACAGTACACTGTTTGACTCTCTCATTTCTTTTCATTTCAATCATTCCTTAGAACACCCACAAGGCCCTGTAAAAGAAATGAGACTTCAGAGGTTGGGCTATAGAAACTGAGGTGAGCTAAATAGTTTTGTAATTTTCCTCTGAAATGATCAACTGTTCCACACTAACATAAATGGTGCAATTCTTCATTCTTAATACAATATTTCTTTACATCTCTTAAAACAATGTATATAATTAGATAATGACGTGAGACTGATTTCCTTTGCTATCATAAAATGTGACAATAAATTAACTATCCTGCTTTGTTGTTTAACAAACAGAACTTAATCTTCCAAATGTGCATTGTCTATCACAGATATCTCAGGGGCTATCTACTTACTATAATTATGCTGCCACTGCTGAAATCATTTCTGAACATCCTTTTGGGGAGGAAGAAATTACCTTCAAGGAGAGTTTGCTACCCAAACAATAAAACTTTTCTCATTTTTTTTTTATATTTTAAGGCCAGGATTTAATCAATTTAGTCACTCAGCTTATTCATCAGACTTAAGGTAGAAAATGGGGCTATTTCCAAAGATTATTTCCACATTCAGAAGATAAAGTTTTACTACCATCAAGGGTACTAGAGAGAAACATCACTTAAGTTCAAATATAAGCTTTAGAGCTTATTACCAAACCATTTATTGAGCAGCTTACTTCAATTTACACTCATAATCTCCCCAGTTAAAACAAGAAGATTATAATATCTATTTTCAGACACTTTCTGAGGGTATCTGATAAATAAGAGCATCTATAAGAGCAGAAGCAATGGTGCCTCAGAAGAAGTAAGGGAACAGTACATGTATACACAGTATTTACACTATGATAAAAGAATTTTAAAAGCCATATATGAAAAGCAGCCTAAAATAAGTAAGGCATTCTGATGTGCCAACTATGATCCAAAAGGTCCACCCCAATTCAATCATTTAACACAATATATACATTCCTGAAAGTAACATAAATAATTTTATAACAAAAATTCAAGTCCCCCATCTACTTAGCATATTATAATCAAAACGTCAGATCATCAGCTATTTGTAAGTGTGGGATAAAATATAATTTCTGTTCTTAAGAGGTTGAATTGTTTACAAGGTCTTTGGGTCACCTCCCCCAAACACACACACACATACATACACGCATGCACGCATGCTCACACACAGAGACTAAACCATTAGTAAGGGGTAAGTATGTACATCCATGAAGGGTTTTCAAAGTTCCTCTAGGAAAGCCACTACCTAAAATAGCTTATAGTTCCCAGGGCCTCATGCTTACTAGGACAGTACTACTTGAGACATACATTTAGCCTTTTTATGCTTGCAAGGAAAGTGGTATTTTCAGTGTGAACTCTGCCACTATATTGGTTAGAATGTCTTTATTCTTTATATTAAATATACTGACAATGCTGTCTTAAAATGAAATTAATCAGATGCCTATGATTCAAAGTTGAAAAAAATAGAGCCATCATGAAAAACAATATTTTGCAGCTTTTTTTTCCTGTAATAAATATAAAGAATTAGTCTAGGTCAGCCTAATTACTTAGCCTATCAGAGAAAAGAAGAATAATTAACAATTAATTATATTCACTAAATTATACAAAATCTAAGATTGTTTTGTTAATAAACTAAAATATAACTGGCTATGTAATTATATGGAAATCAATATTCCTTTGAGAACAGTCATTTATCAAAAGAAAATTCCATAACCAAATGGCATTTTGAGTACCTTAAACTGTAGATAACAAAAGTTTCTAAATCACTCTCTCTCTTGCAAAAACTAGGTTCACAGTCAGACTTACTATTTCTACATTACCAGACACCATTTTCATAGTTGTATTTGTATTAAAATATAATATTTGGGGGGGGCGGGGAGTAAGGGAATAAGTGTGCCAGTTACGGAGGTTAAACTCAGGGTCTAGGCACTATCTCTGAACTTTTTTTTTGGTCAAGGCTAGCACACTCTACCACTTTAGGCTGTGGCTCCACTTCCAGTTTTTTGTTTTGGGTTTTTTTTTGTTTGTTTGTTTGGTTTGGTTTTTTAAGGTGGCTAATTGCAGATAAGAGTTTCATGGACTTTCCTGCACAAGCTGGCTTTGACTGCAGTCCTCACATCTCAGCTTCCTGAGTAGGTAGGATTACAAGCATGAGCCACTGGTGCTAAAATCTAAAACAAAACCTGACAGGAAATATATTAGGCACGATAGGTTAGGGCAAGGGTAAGGGCAAATTTCAAAGTTCCCCAAGCTCCTTTTATTTGCAAAAGGTCATTCAAATCATCAAACAAATCTACATGAAACCCAAGAACCTTTATGCACTTTAATATCTTCCTAGAGACAATCCACAGGGTAAAAAAAAGACTGACATGATCTCTCTATTTGAAAGTGAAGGTATTGTTGAGAGAATTGTTAGTTCATATATTAAGACGCCTTAGAAAGCAGCATGAAGGAAGTGTTCGATTAATGTTAGCTGCCATTATTATTGTTGTTTTGCTCTAACTTTATAGGATATATCCTCTGGATCAAGATAGTTTCCACATTGCCACTTTATTTAAATTCTGGTTCTAATTTTCCTTTCCCAAAAACATTCTGTAAAGATCAAACAATAAAATGTTAACATTTGGGGGAGGGGGAGAAATTCGGGATTTTTTTGTAAAAAACGGTCCAGACTCCTAAATGTAATAGTGAATAAATAACAGATGTCCAACAATTAACTGCAGATCAACTAGTATGTTTGTCTTCTTTCTTACAAACATGTTTTACAAAACTGTATATAATAAAAGGAGACCAATCTTGGTGGTGGTGGCTCATACACCTGTAATCCTAGCTCTCAGGAAGCTGTGATCTGAAAATCACAGCTCAAAGCCAGCATGATCTATTATCTCTAATAAACTACTCAGATGAAGTCATAAGTGGCACTCTGGCTCAAGTGGTAGATCACTAGCCTTGAGCACAAAGAGGCTCAGGGACAGCCCCCAGAACCTGAGTTCAATGCCAGGACCAGCCAATAAAAAAGAAAAAAATTAACCAATCTGGACTAAATATTTGAAATTTTAGTTTCCATAAAGAATTGTTACTGGTACCTGGTGGCTCACACATACGATCCTAGTAGAAGCCTGAGATCTGAGAATTGTACTTGGAAGCCAGCCTGGGCAAAAAACTCTTCAAGAATGTATTTCCAATTGACCAGCAAAAAGAAACCTGGCC